CCCTGCAAGAAATCATATCAGGTAAAACAAAACATGATACTAAGGTTCATCTTCCTGCAGGATGACAGGATGTCATTTAATTCGGGCAGGGTTTTCATTACCTATGTGCATAACTCTTTGTTTATATTTTACTAATGTTAATGTTAATGTTAAATCACAATTTCGCAATCGCAATTTTTTAAAGAAAAATAACTAAACTTAAAAAAAAAAAAGCTATCTCTCCTTGTGAATCCAAACATGTCACACCATCATCCTCCTCCTATTTCCTGTCATCTTCTTCGTCTAATTGCCAGTAGTAACACCCGGTTGTTGATCACTTGACTCATGAAGTAAAAAAGAAAGTTTCTGTTGCAGTTTTATGCACTACGCCAATTATGACACAGTCTCAAAAACTCTTCATTCTAGCGCACAGGCTTTTCCTCTAAAATAAATTTTCGGCTGAAAAATAAGCACTAGTCAATGATCAATGGAAACTTACTGACGGGATGGCCAACTCCAGGTCTCAGGTGCAAAAATGTCACTTTGAATATGCTGAATTCAGTGGTTGTAATAACGAAAAAGAATGTGGAAAACTTTCAGACTAACTTTGTTACCAAAGCACTGAGGCTTAAAATCTTTTGTCTGTTAAAGCCTGGATACAGCTGGCAGAAAGAAAATTACACAACTGGCATAGAAAAAAGAAAAGCTTCTGGCTCTTTTTCAAGCCTTTTTTCCTTGCCTGAATCAGAAACATGATTTAGATTGAGAACCAAACTGTATAAATAAGAATCAGGATCTTGATTGATGATTGCACCTTTGTAATTATATCCAGCCGTCGTATTTGCTTTGGCAAGACATCTGTTGTCGGCCTTTCTCTTCCATCTCGAAATGTCAGGTTTTGTAGGTGTGGCCCTCGCGGATGGCTGACAGATTGGCTGTTTCCAGCACACCTGCAGGGAGCTCTCCACCTCAAAGCAGATGCTTATCTTTACTTAAGAGAGCCATTTACAATAAAACCCACTTCCTCTCTAAGTTCCTTGTAGGATATTTGTTATTTTTAAGGAATGTCTAAAAACAAAAAAAGCATAAACAAATTATTCTATGTGGGTGAAAAAAACACACTAAACTAACAGCTAGCATTAAAATCTGTGTTGCGAAATCTCTGGTTCGCTTTGTGCTGTGTTAATTCATGCAGATTGGCACACAAGCATAGAGGATCTTAAGGTGATGCCAGTTGTATCGTCACATGCATAGCTGGGAGTGTCAGGAACCCTAGAAGAATCGCTCCTTAAGAAAAGCCAGAGGAATGCATTCAGTCTTTACATAAAGATCATTCAGCGAGCAGAATGAGCTTGATCCCCCAGCTTATGCGTGTATGTTTAGTGATTTGTAGAGGGGATTTGAAGGCTTTACATGTGCGTCTGCTGCTGGAATGTCCTTTAGGCATTCGTGCAGCGATATTCACCAGTCCAACACCTTATTGTTTGGGTTTGGGATGTAACGCCCGCTCACAGCTGAGATCAGAATAATGATATAAAGTTAACATATTATTCGTGACAGATATTTTTCCAATTGGACAGACTGAAGCCTGCCTTGGACGGCTCAGCCGAGCTCAAATGTCATCTCAAATCCCTGAGGTGCTGCAGAGTTTTAACCTGACTGGCTCTGTCTTAAACCACATTAGCTACTTTCAAACTCTCATCTTCCTACAATTATCTCTTCACCCTACACTCATACGCCTATAATTACTGGAGTGATATCTGTATTGCTCTGAAGTCATTAGGAAAATACCTACCCTCCCGGCTGTCTCGAGCCAGCAGTAAGAAACTTGTCATGCCGTCTGCGCCTGAGCTTATGCCCGCCGGAAGCAACACCGGGCAAAGCAACGAAAGGCTGAGCGTAAGAGTGCTGGCAGGCTTGCCCCTCTTCCCTTGATTGCAATGTGTCCTTCAAAAGCAAAGTTTATGTTTCATCATGTACCAGTCCACCACACTCCATAAAAAGGAAATAAACTTTACTCCGGGGATGGTAAAATAATGACAGAGCTGCCTAATGAGCGAATTAAAGAGCAATAAATACAAATCTGGCCTTCTGACTGAGATGTGATATTTCTTACCTCAGTATGAGTGTTTAATGTTATCCCCACAGTACAGTACAGTAAATGCCCTCATTTAGCCACTTTGCTCCACTGTACCCTACATAACTGTAAAGTCCTTCTCACATGTTAGACTAGATGAGGAGTAAAAGAGAAAGTCTTGAAAGTTCATTATTCAATCTACCTTTAGAGTTGTAGTTGATGAAAGATTCTAAATTAAATAGGGTTGAATGAGGGAGTTTGGCAGGTTGTCGGGTGGTGCATAAAAAGCCCCTCTCCTTTGCGTCTGAACCCGGTCTTCACATCGATCTGGAGGTACCATAATGGTTTATCAAATTTGATTCGCTCTCTGGTGTCGTCTCCAAAGCAAAAAGGTTGACTGACATGGCAGAGCTTCTTTTTAAAATGTTATCATCTAGTACTGTTTGGCAAATTGAGTTTGAGCTTCACTCATCGTGAGGTTTTTCTTTAATGCCTGTTTGAGCGTTCAGTGAATGCCTTCCCTGTTAGAAAAATCAGAATCCCATGAACTCTAAACCAAGTGTAAAATTTTTTAAACACTTTAAAGAGGAGTTCATTCCCAATGCCAGAGTGCAGTATACAGTACAGAGCCTTGCCTTTGTATCAAAGCTCTCCAGATTTTGTCATTTAAAATAGCTGACTTTGATGTATTTTAGTAGGATTTTATGTTATAGACTAGGGGGCCTAAATCCAGTCCTCAGAATCTACAGTCTGGTATTTTTTAGTGGCATCCCTGCTCCAACACACTTGAAGCTACGGAAGAATTCCTTTATCAGCAAATCATTGAGCTCCACTGAGGCTGGTAACGATACGTTCTATGAATTAGGATGTTGGTTGATTGGGTTTAAGCACCCCTGTAACTGAATGACGCAAAACTGTGAAAATTAAACTCTGAAAAATTGCGCTATGCAATGATTTTCCGCCAAACTGGGTTAGTGATACCCCTTTTACAGCAGCCTACATGGTGTATTTCTACCTAGCAGTATGTGAAATCTAATGTGATGACCATTGGACTGGTTTGATCTTAACGCCACAGCCTAGTAAAATGCATAAATCCACCCTGCAACTTAGATGCTTAAAACTTCTGTGAGTGGCATATTAAACTACCGAGTTAGTATATGCATTACCAAATTATTGGTTTGTTGTGCATTTAGACCCTTTAGAAAGTTTTGCTAAGGTATTCATACTACTCCTTAAAGGAATAGTACACCCAAAACATGATTAGCCTTCATTTTCTACTCACCCCCATGCTGAACAAAACTCTGGAGTACTTTTTTGATATCTCAAATGCATCTGGAGATCTGGGAGGCTTCTTGCTGTCTGCTGACATTCAAATAATGGAGGTCCATGGCGCCCGAGACAGAAAGGTCCATAAAAGTCCACAAAAACGTGTCAATATTCCTCCATACTGGTCGTCCAATGTATTCCAAGTGTCCTGAGTGGGTAGCATCCAGAATTTACTCGAAACGAAGTCATTTAGAATGTTTTTAGAGCATAAACAGTAGTGTATAGGATTTCCTAATAGCGCCCCCCATGCGCGCTCACGATTCTACGGAAGCCGGCAGACCAAACCGGAAGAAAGTGCGCATTCAGCGTCTGGTCTGCCGATAATGCAAGCGTAGAAGAAGAAATGTGCTGTTTACCTGTGCAAAGAAAGAAACAACGAAAGAAAAATGTCTGAGGACTTCAGTGTTGAGGAAGAGCATGAGTTCTTTGCCGAGCTGAATGCGCTGGTTTGGTCTGCCGGCTTCCGTAGAATCGTGAGCGCGCATGGGGGCGCTATTAGGAAATCCTATACACTACTGTTTAGGCTCTAAAAACATTCTAAATGACTTCGTTTCGAGTAAATTCTGGATGCTACCCACTCAGGACACTTGGATTACATTGGACGAGCAGTATGGAGGAATATTGACAAGTTTTTGTGGACTTTTGTGGACCTTTCTGTCTCGGGCGCCATAGACCTCCATTATTTGAATGTCAGCAGACAGCAAGAAGCCTCCCAGATCTCCAGATGCATTTGAGATATCAAAAAAGTACTCCAGAGTTTTGTTCAGCATGGGGGTGAGTAGAAAATGAAGGCTAATCATGTTTTGGGTGTACTATTCCTTTAAAGATGAACTTTAACACAACCTTGAGTCTTAAGCAGTCTGCAACAGTTTTTTTTCTTCTTTCTCGTCCTGTTTTTTGCACATCTTCCAAGAGGTCTGAAGAAAGGGTTCCACACGGTATGATCCTGCCACTACCATGTTTCAGCATTGGGACGGCGTGTTCACAGTGCTGAGAATTTTCTTAAGCACAACGTTTTGCATGAAGGCTAACTTTTATACTTTGTATAGAGATTAAATTACACACAAATTGATTCTACTTACTAATTAGATGGCTGATTGATGCAGTTGGTTGCTCTCAATTCTATTTGACCATTTTGGGATAAAGAGGGATGAATTGAAATGTGAAAGCTGTGTATTGCTTTCCTTCCACATCACAGTTATGCACTGTCATGTAAAATCCAAATAACATACTTTGAGGTCTGTGGTTGTAACGTAAATATGTGCAAAGTTTAAGGGGTGTGTTTGGTTTTGCAAGACAGTGCATGTTTTGGCTAAGTCTCATTTAAGGTGTAAGGAGAGGTCTGTCGGGATTGATACCAAACCAAGTGTGAGTAGATTTCCACAGCAGCCTCGAATCTGTGTGCAGACCCTTATTCGCTTTTGTGAAAGACAGCGAGTGTCCTTTGAAGGCATGCTTGGAATCTGTAACGAAACACAGTGTGACTGGTTGTTGTGAGTGTGGTGGAAGAAGCGTCTTAGTGAGGTGTCAGTAGGATGCTGGTCCGCACTCCACAGCTGCTGGTCTTTGATGTGGCTGCGTCTTTTGAAGAACTTACACCCTTCTCCTTTTTCCACAGTGTCTGGAGCCCTGCAAGGAATCTTGGGACCTGAAAGAAAACCAGTGCCAAGATTTATGTGAGGTATGTTACTACTCTGAATAACTGAGCTTCCCTCAGGATTTCAGTTTTAAGCTTTTTTAGACCCAGCGGGGAAATTTTACCGAGGGGAAAGTCTGGAAGGGGTGTGAAGTAACTCTTTCTGCGTTGTAACGACACCCTCCAAGAGTCTGAATCAGAGCCATTTAATGTACTCACAGTTTCAGTGAGTCATAGGCTGAAATCTAAACAGGACAGTCAAAGAGCTGCTTGTTTGTAGCCAGCCCTTTCAAAATGAATCTGACATATATTTTTCCTTTCCTCCTTCTTTAGCCCCTCTTTCCCAAGAAGCACTACGAGTGTCTTACAAGCTGCGAGTTCTTGAAGTCCGTTGAGGGGGTGAAGCAAGGTGACTGTCCTGCCCCGGAGAAGGCCAGCGGCTTTGCTGCAGCCTGCGTAGAGAGTTGCGAGGAGGATGGAGAGTGTTCGACCGTCAAAAAGTGTTGTAGCAATGGCTGTGGTCACACCTGCCAGGTGCCCAAGAATCTCTATAAAGGTAATAAAAACAAGAAATTAACCAGCTTATCATCATATGAGAAGTGATGTGGGAGTTATAATAACTGTTGCCATAATTAAGAAGTTTAATTTAAATAAATATGCCAAATCAGTTTTAAAAACTGATCTCTGCTTTCTTTCAGGAAGTACACAATGTATTAAAACCAACTAGAAAAGCAATCAGAGTGCAGATTTTGCCCCAAATGTGATTTACACATGTAGCTAAAACTCACACATGATGTGGATCATTACCAAATTTAAATAATAGTTCCTTGGCAGATGGAACACCGCTGGTAAAAATCGGTTCATACGTTTTCAATTGATCAATTCATACGTTTTCAATTCAATTGATCCGGACCATGTTCCCTTTTCTTGTGCGTTTGTCTTCAGTAAAATACCTTCTCACTTTTTGAGTCCCAAGCTGAGGCTTTTCACCAGTCACTGCTGCCACCCTCTGGATTAGTGGGGAATCAATGTCTCGTTATGTTAGAAAATCTTTAAAAAAATACTTGTATCCAGATTATGATGTGGTTCATTAACTAAATTTAATGGACTGTTGGCATGAGGGAGACCTCTGATAAAAATGTAATTAAAATCCATCCATAATTTTTCAAGATATCCTGTACACAGAGAGAGACAAACACACAAACTCTCCTTAAAACATAACCCCCTTGACGGAGTATTTGTCCTTTTCCTGCTTCACAAAGGTAGGCAGTGTCATGGTCTTGGTGTTGCTGTTCTTTACTTTGCTCCTTGTTTTCTAGATTTATTGGTTTAATTCCAGTTTTGTTGTATTTCTAGATTTATATTAGTGCTCATGTTTTTCTGTTGTCCCCTTTTGCCCTCTTGTGTGTGTGCGTTCCTTTCCCCTTGGCTCCCTTATTGTCTCCTCTCACACCTGCTCCTTGTCTGCTCGTTAGCCCTCCCTTTGTCTCTCTCTGCTATATATGCTCTCCCTCTGCTTTCACTCTTTGTTGGTTCCTTTTCTTTGCTGTCCTCCCATACTGTTGTCCATGTTCCTCGTCTCTCCCTGGCTCCTCGTGTTTGGTTTTCCCCAGATGTCTTCTCAGTTCTGGTTTGCCTTTAATTATTAGTTGGATTTTTGGATTCCTGCCTTTGTTTACTGTTTTGCCCCATTAAAACTCCCAGAAATCTCCTCAGCCTCTGCCTCTGCATTTGGGTCCTCCAAACCACAACTAAACCCTGACAGGCAGCAGGTAGGCAGCTTGACAATGCCATGATGGAAATTATTTTACATCCTAGTAGTATGCAGTTCTTAGTATACACACACACACACATCAATTTCAAACAGATGGTATCGGTATCGGTTAATACTGCACAGGCAGGTATAGGGTATCATACCGGGGCCAAAAAATGGCATCGGTGCAACACTAGTTTTAGCAACATGCTCCTGGTAGACCGAGTAAACAAAACTCTTTTTCCCAGTCCTGTGCAGGTACTTGGAGTAGAGAGCAACAAAGGGGCATTTCAACACAAAGAATAGGGCTCAACATTTAAACATTAAATCATAGGTGTCAGAGGGCAGCAACCCAGACATGTTCTTATAAATGAAAGTAAACTGTACTCAGGTGTACAGTTCACATTGGTGGTTTAAGGCTTACCGATTGTAACAAATCTCAGAGAAGTGCAGTGAACAGTTCCAAGCTTATGAAAACCTTTAGCATTCATGTGCAGCAGGTCTTCATAATTGTAAATAGATAGAAATGTTTATATGACAAGCTGCATTTTAACCTCAAAAGAAAACTGTAGTTTATTTTGATAGAGAAAGACAAGTTTCAGTTTGTTCACAGGATTGTCAGTTTGAGGCTTGGAGGTGAGTCATCGAGCGAGACACCAAGATCTATAGATCTATTCCAAGTCTGGACACACATAACTGTGTGTTCAATCTATGGCTATGTTTTTATTTATTTATTTATTTATTTATTTATTTATTTATTTATTTATTTTTTTGGTGCATGAACTAGCAGCAATAAGATATGATAGAGAATTAAAAAGCTTCATAAACCTTGAGACTAGTTGCTGGCTGAATATTGAATTACAGTCGTCATGGCAATATCACAAAGGAGTTTTTGCAGTATGTAATATTGGTATGATGCTGCATTTCCAGCTATTATCTGAATTATGATAAAACATTGGCCATATTAATATCTAATTTGAGTTTTTACCTACATAGAGACTGAGATACTAGATTCTAAAATGATATGGACTTAGGGATGTCTTGATCCCATGTTTATATTGGATGTAGGACCGATATCAGCCATAAAACTAATATCAGCCTGCATTTAAAACCTCTGAAATTGGCTTGCTGATTGAAACACTCCGTTTTAAGTTAATGTAACTCACCGGTTAACAATACATGGATCCGTTGTTCCCATACTTATTGTTGTTTACCATTGTTCTTTGTTTGATTAATGTCACTGTAAATCATTCAATAACATTTCACACTAAAAATAGGTTTTTTTGCTGATATCTTATCAGGTTGGCATGAGTATTTGTGAATACTCAAAGATGCAATATCAAAGCTGGTACCGAAAATAAACAATTTGTTTTTCAGGATACCAATAATAAATATTATTTTATAGTAAAGAAAAGCAAGTTTTGGCAAAGTAGTGATTAACTGAATTTAGTATAAATGCCACAGCTGTCAGTAATACCACTTTTTGCATGTTTGATTTTTGTATGTTTGGTAATGTGGCTGATGGAGGATATCTGAAGGTCAGAAATGGACCACATGGCAGTGAAATAACAGCCATCTGATATGACGTTCTGTACTGTAGGTATAGATGGCTGCCAAAGCGAAACGGCTACAAAGATGGAGAGATGGTTACTTTGTCTTTGCTGGTTGTTACTGGTGGTTTTATGAGTTGGATGTTAAAAATCTGAGCATCAACCTAATTATAAATTTAACAGAAGGAACAAGTCTTCAATCGGTTTATAATTATCTGGTTTCTTTGTTCTTTAAAAAAAAATTGTATTTAACTTGTCTATCCCATTTTTAAGATGGCCAAAAATGGTTTCTGTGTTATGTTTCTTAAACCCCAATGAAGTGTATTAAATGATTCTATGGAAGGAGAAAAACATATAATGAAGGAGCCAAAGAATCTCTGCAAAGGTAAGAGTATAGAAAATAAATGAGTCAGAATGTAATGTGTCTGCAGCTATGATGACTGTCTAGGTTAAAATCTTTGAACATTTTAGGTGGTTGTTTTTGCAGCACTATTGGTTACTAGTGGTTTAATGAACTGGAAGGCAAACACGAGCAGCTGCTTTGTTACAAACACAACAGAAGGAACAAGTGTCGTATTGGTTTACAGTGCAACCGCACAGTCATTTTATCTTGAACTGACTTCATCATCCACATGGCAGAAGTAGTTTTCCAACCACAGAGAGGCATATTAGAAAGGCTGTTGGCCTGCTGAGGAGCTGGGGGGTTGCAACATCTTGCCTGTGGCTGTCCTCTTCTCATCCTATGATGGGAGTGTTTAAAGGTTGATCCACTGATGAGGGAAACATGCCAGAGTGTGGCTCAGATGCTGATTCCTGGATAAATGGTTGCGTCTTAATATGTTAGTAATAACTAAATGTGTTCTTGTGAATTTTTCATGACAAAACAAGCTATGATCTTTTAAATTATTTTTTTTATTAATCTAGGTCAATGAAATGGCAAAAAAAAACAAAACAGTTTTCCAGAATAAGATAAAATTGTTGTCATTAAAGCATATCCAAGGTAAAATTTTGGATATTACTTTCAGATTTATTGGTAAAAGTTTTGGCTTATTTGTCTTGACTCCCTAGGAACTTAAGAGTTTATTTAGACAAGGAATTAATTTACCGTAGTCTGCTTCAGTCTACAAAATGAGGACTATTTTTCTGGCCACACTTTCATCCTTGCTATGTGGACTTTGCTTTGCTTCTTGAATCACAGTCATGTCGGATGAGGAAGGGGCCATTACCAGACTCTTTCCCAGGACGTTTCACTTTTATTTAAGTTATTTTGGTGCAGGGCTGAGATTAATCATCATTAATCGATTATTGAAATAATCGTCAACTAATTTAGTAATCGACTTATCATTAACTGGAGTCTAGAGACTCTATAACATGCCTTTAGCTGACAGAGTGATCCACTTAGAGCCATAATTATACCAAAATTGTGAAAAAAAATGTAAACATTCTGTATTTAAGAAAAAAAAAGTCTTTATCTTTCAATATGCTCTATCCAGAACTCCAGTTTTATTTTGCAAAAATTCTTCTTTAAGGAATTTTTTCCTATCCGATTATTAACCGATTCATCAAAAAATAATCGAAAGATTAATCGATTTGCAAAACAATTGTTAGTTGCAGCCTTATTTTGGTGGTTATAAAAATACTTCGGCTATAAGTGATAGGAAATGCAAAATATAAAGTGCATACATATATAAAGTGTTCTGTGCCACCTCTCATTAAAATGTGTAAAATAAATATGAATCAACAAAGCTGTTTTTATTTGAGTACTGTAATTTTACGTTTAAAATCTTAACAACAATAAAAAATATTTAAGCCCATTTACTCACTGGGATGAAAAAAAAAAATGCAAATTGAGAAAACTGAATAAAACTGTTAGTGCCACCAATGTTGCCACCAGTGCTTTTGATCCCTTGTAAAGCCTACTTGTGGCCAGTCACGTCTCACAAGGCTGTAGAGACAAATCCTCTTTGCACAATCTTTCTGAATCTTGCAAAGTCCCGGATCCTCTCTAATGCCGCCTGTTCTTCCAAGGACAAAATTAAACATGGAAAACGGTTTATTTTATGCCAGGTGAAATGTTTATGAGCTGATTTGGCCATGTGGTTTTAGTCATTATCCTGTTAAAAGATGATGACCCATATTCAGAGTACTCCCAGAGCCTGCCAGACATTTGTTCTGAACCTGGTATTCCATGATAAATAATTTCCTGGATTTAATCATGCAATACACTTTAATAATGTTTCTTATTGTGTTAGA